CCACAGCTCGACACACATCTCCCTTGAAATTTTTCTGTGTTTGGTTTGATTCCCTTTGCTGGAAGACAGCAGGTCCGGCCTTATTGCTCTTTTTAGGAACATGCCCATCTCCTAGCGCTGAAGCACTGAGACCCCGAGTAGCTCGGGATCAGAGGGGTTCTGAGTGGCGCCCTTGGCCACGGGGTTTTATTTCCCCTTGCGTTTTGATGCATTAAACCCCAGCTCAAGGGACCGCTGCTTCACATCGCTCTTCCCTGCACTGTGAGAGTATCCGGAGCCTCTCGCCGCCTTATCCTCGGTGCTAGGAGCAAGGGAAAGGGCCAGCCCCGAGAGCATAGGCGGAGCACGGATGCAATTAGTGCAGATTAAACACAGGCCGCCGTCTCAGCGAAGACGCAGGAGTTAATGAGCGCGTGTGGGCGCACACGTAGGCCGAGGCGGGGATGGCGCTTGGCGGCAGGAGGAGGAGGGACGCAGCGTGTGTAGCCGCTAAGGAAACGTGGGTGCATCCGGCCCAGGAAAACCGGCCTCACCGCCGCAGGAAAGAGGCTAGAAATGCCGGTTATGTGTTAATGCTCCAGTGGGAAGCAGGAAATCCTGAAGAAATATCTAACTTAAAAAGAAAAAATCGAACGCTAGTGTTATTTTCTATGAGGTGATTTGGGATGGTGTGAGAACTGACATGTTGAAATTGGCCTTTGGAGGAGCAGAATGCTGGGATCTGGTGGCCGTGGGGCAACGCAGGTCGTATCCATGCGGGCAGGATGGGGACCTGCCATGGCAGCTCCCATTGGGAACGTAACAACACGAAGTCACCGTAAAACACAGAGGAAGCCAAATCCCGCGGTGGCCAAGGGCTCTCCTTGGAGCCTGCCGCTGCAGCAGCCACGTTTCGGGTGTTATTAGGAGGGGAAAAGGAGAATTGGGCAGCGCGCCGGTAGGTCCCGCGAGCCGCGGCCTGGCTGCCCCTCAGCGATGGCGCCCGGCGCAGGCGGCGCCGCAGGCCCCGGCCTGAGGAGAACCCGGGCGCCTCAGGGCCCCTGTGGAGCAGGGGGCACCGCCCGGCGGGAACGGCCCTCACACGCAAAGCTGAGCTTCTCTTTTAAAACCATGTTGTTCTGCTAAAGCCTGGAGTGCTGCTTTCCAGCCGTCAAGCGTGGATTGCAGCATTGAGGAAGCCCTTCCCAAAACGCCAACACTCCAGATCTGGGAACCGAGGAGGAGCTTCCAGGAAATATTTTTAGACTAGATGATCTCTAGAGGTCCTTTCCACCCTCAACCATCCTGCGATGCTGAAGTCACACAACTAGGAGCTGCTTTTGCAGTATTGAAGCCAAAGCAGCAGGTGGCCACTTGGAGCACATCCCCACTGCACCATCTCCATCTCACACACATGGCTACACCACGTTTCGCGGTGCCTCACATGGAAAATGGGCTCGGAAAGGCCTCTGGATGCCTGGTGACACCTCCTAGGAGAGTCACAGTGCAGATCCAGCCAGGTTCCTGCTAGGAAAACTAAGCCCTCATCATGGAATGGGTACTAGCTGGGGAAATCCTGCTCCTGCCCCTCCTTTGACCCACTGCTTTCAGCAGGGCCAGGGGGGAAGCTTTTTGTAGCAGGATCTTCAGGGTTGGATTTCCAGAACTGGAAAACCACCACAAAAGCCATCAGATGGAATCCTAAGTCTCAAGGCCATGTTAGAAGCTAGTGCATCTGGTTCCTGAAAGTATAGGCTGGATGCCAGTCTTCTGCTGGGGCATGATTCTCTATTAATTCTCTCTTACAGGACTTGGATTTGAGGGATACAGGGATTTGAGGAGGATTCCTGGTTTAGGTGGTGTTTGGGTCAAGAGATGCCTGAATAGTGGCTCATTAACCATCCTCCTCTATGATGGCCTCAAGGATTAGCCTCTCTTATTACCTTAATTTCTTCCTTGAGCACTTGGCGTTCTACGGGTGGGGAAATGCTTGTGCTAGATGAGCACCAGCTCTGGAGAGGCCCTGAGGATCCGTTCTTGAAAGGGACACAGGGGCAGCAAGAACCTGGAAGGGAAGGATCCCTGCTCCATTGACTTCCCTGTAGTAACATTCTGCTTAGGGTGCAGCACCAGGGCAGCTGATTGCACATCTCAACAAGCAGGGCTCAGATGGAGAAAGAGATTTGAGAAGTCTTTTTGGAAAGTACCAGAAAGACTGGGGCTTCTGCTTGAAATCCCTTCCATTTTTGTTTTAAAATGAAGGATTTCACCAGGGAAACACATCTATAAAAAGAGACCAAGAACCTCATCACCTAGACCTCATTTAACCACATTTCCTCTGTGCCCTTGATGAGTTGAAGCCAACCATGGCAAGGCTCTCCCTCTCCCCTGCTGCAAAAGGAGGGTCATTTTGACGTTATTACAGGAGGTTGTGAAGATTAGGCAGCATTAGCAGAATGCTTTGAAGATGAGCAGTGTTGATTACATAAGGCCTAGTTAGAACCTGTTGATCTCTCTTCGTCAAGCACAGGTAATTAGCAGTGTAAGCCCATCAAGCAGGGGTGCGGATGCTGCGTCCAGCTCCAGCGCATTCCTGCCTGGTGGCACGGAGGTGGCACAGGGACCTGCAACACCCACCCCACATGGTGCTACGAGCTCTCTAGCTACAGCGGTGCATGATGGCACGTGCTTCTTTTGAAAGGCAAAAACACAATTAAGTACGAGGACACGGGTTACCCTTTCTATTTCAGGACAGCAGCAATGCACGAGGTCCTCATTCACCTCCTGGACGTAACCTTGTCTGTAGGTACTTCTCTGGTCAGAGCAGCTGAGAAACGTAAAGCCTGGAGTTTCCTCCAATGATGGAGTTTCTTCTGTTTTCCTCCAATGATGCAAGCACTAACTAAGCAAAGTCCAATTTTGGCATATGCTGCTGTGCCTTTGGTCAAGGAACAACGTACATCTGCCTGGTGCAAACACGTCGCTACTCCAGACACGCAGAATCAACCCATTTCTACACCAACCCACTTCTTTGCTAACAAAGCATGTTCACCAACCGCCAGCCTTGCCAAGCACCTTTACTAAAGAGAGAGGAAGAAGGTGCCCCCAAGCCAAACTTGGCTGCCTTCAAACCTTCCCCCTGCAAGATTTAGCAGCGAGGATCAACTTCCTTGTGCAATAAGCCACAGGGAGAAGGAAACAATCAAATATCAGCTTCCTGCCCGCATGGTACCGCCCGTCATGGGGCTCCACCTGCCCCACAGGCTTCATGGTGCTCAGTGCAGAGCTGAGCTCAGCATGCTGAGAACTTTCCTCATGTTCATGAAACAAATCCAGGAGCTGCACTGAAATACAATTAATGTAAAAGTTGGGCCTTGTCCTTGGCCTATTTTCTCCTTTGCTGGAATGTGCTATTTAATTGCAAAAGTTTAAATCCAGACAAGCCAATGCTCATTTAATGTGACTTACAGTAGCTGAAGTTTGCCCATTTCCTCAACAGAAACAGGACCTTTGCACCTTCTCCTTCAGCAGAAACCATCACTAGAAGACCAATTCTCATTAAGTGCTTACCAAAATCTTCCTAGCCCCTGCTGTAGAACTTCTTGCTTCTTTTATATCTCCTAATCCACACAGCATCTGTCTCGAGATCTTCAGAGGAGCCAGATTGTAGCTGCACAGTATCATACAGAGTCCGTGCAAGAAGCAATTTACATATAGAAGCAATAAATCAAACCCCAAGACAGGGCTTCCAAGGGTACCCATCCCCTTGTAGGATTCTCCAGGGTTGTTACAGCACCCAAACTGAGCCACCTTGTAAGCCAGAAAAGAAGCCATCTGCCTTCTCCAGCATCTTCCAGCCTGGGCATCTGCTGGAAGGAGCCATCCACAGAAGACAACTGAAATCTCCATACACAGAGGTAGTTCAATGATCATATCTGTCCACATAATTCACTAAAATTACAAGACTGTTCTTTAGATCTTATTAGCAGAGGAAGACCTGGACAAGTGGAATAATTTACTATTTTACTGGATGAGCATGTGACAGGACAAAGAAAACACAGCTGATGAATGAAATTCTTCAACTATTGCAGGAAAGGCAAGACCAGTTCATACTTCAGGAGTCCAGTATGGGGAAAATTGTGGGTTTTCTTTGCAGATAATTGTGAGAGCCTGCAGTGGGCTTAAAGTTCTCCCCAAAACCTCCCTCACTGGAAACTAGACTTACTTTTCCCAGTATTTCTTCATCCATCCCCTATAAAAAGCACTGCACTACCAAGGCTTTAAGGTACCAATGTGCTTTAGGAGATCAGTTGTTCTCATGCAGCCCTTACTTTACATCAAGAAACCCACCCCAAACCAAAAAACCCCACACCAAACCAACCAACCAACCCCTACACCACACCAATACATGTGGCTGCAGTATTTGGCAAAATTATTATTATATATTTCTTTAAAGTTAAACTGCAAAGAGCAACTTTTTGCCAGGAAGGCAGATGAAACCTCATCTTTGGGGAAAGAAATCCTATAAGGTAATAGTTAAGCAATGGTTTTAAGCTATTTATCTAGCAATCTGAGGAAACCCCTGTGCAGTCAAAGATGAGAAAAGATTCTGTCTTTTAGCACTGCCTGAAAGGCGAAAGCTAGCGCTGGTTGCAAAAACACTGCAAGCTTCTATTCCATTTTCTTCTTGCCAAAAATAAAAAGTCTTCTCACACATTTCTGTTCCATTGAAACACACTTCATTTATATACAGCATTTTCCTACTGCAGTGTCATATTCTATACAAAGTAGGTCAACTGCATTTTTTTTTTTAATAAAATATCTGGTTCCAGAATGATTCAAGGTTGTTGTCCAAAAACCAAGCAAAAGCCTGCATGGGGTCAAGCAAAGCTACACAGGACCCCTGACATTCTCAAAGCTACCATGAGACCCCCCCCCCACTCACCTCAATCAGTGACATCTGGATGTAAAAGACATACAGAAATACATGATAAACAGCCCACGTCAATTTGTTCAAGACACGCAATTTATTTTAAATGACATCTTTTTGTTTCTTTTAAGCAGGTCTAAGCTTGCGAGCTGGCTAAATCCACTCAATCTTGAAGGAGTTTCCTGGTTACAAGTCCACACGACCCTTGTGTAGCACAGGGGGCCGTGAGCCACTTACTTGTGACACGATTTTGTATCCTTCAGCTCACGACTCTCGCGGTCACACGAAGGCAAAGACAGCGCAGGTCGGTCGCCTTGCAACCCAAGCCTCTCTCTCCAAATTAGACCCATGTGTTAATTGCGTCTCCTTTGCATCCACTGTCACAAAGACCAGTCGAGCTGCTCAGCCAGCCTGGAGTTCTAGTAGCAAAAATAGTTTGGTTCACTAGCAAACAACTCTCTAGCAGTAGTCAAGGAATTCATTGGCTTCAAGGATCTTACTCCTCCTCTTAAGGTGAGTAGGTGAACATGTTTTCTTTCCACAAAAACAAGTTAACATGGACAATTAACAAAAAATTTATGAACAGAACTTAAGGTTTGCAGCTATTTTATTTACAAGTATACATTTAACACAAAGAAACACTGATATCCAAGCCTAGTTAATAGTAGTGTAACAATATGCATCATTTTGATGATTATTCTAACCAACAAACTACACTGAAAAAAAAAATTAATGCCAGTAAAATTCTTGGTCATAATATTAAGAAATACAATATATAAATTGAAAATATGATTGCTTAAAATTTGAAAATGGAAGTGAAGCCATTTGCACAGGAGTCAGAGTTTAACATAATCTGAAGGGAAAGGCTCCAAACCAATTGTATCTTTCAGGTTAATCGAAAGAAAAAAAAAAAAAAAAAAAAAAGGAAAAAAAAGGAAAAAAAAGCATAGTTTATCCTTAGAGATAATGGGCAGTTTTGCTTCTTCAGGTAGAATGTATTCCCAGTGTTTTCGTGTTTTGCAGTGGAATTACATTACTGAGCATGAAGACTTCCCTTGTGAAGCTGCCCCATCGATTTTTTCTGCCTCCAAAATTATCCTCTTAAAAACATCCACGGCAGTCTGCAAAGAGAGGGGACAAGATGAGTGGGCACGGAGAAGCTGCTACTTGCTGCAACAAAAACCCGCAGCCCAATTTCACCGGTAAATTCTGCTTTGAACAAGGCCTTTAGGAAGGAGAGTGTAATCCCTTTCTTCACAACAATCCTCATTTTCTCTATCACTGCAGGGAGGAATAAGTTTCAACCGAGGTGCATCAAGAGAGAGCCATTTACTGTAATTCTGCTTTATATTTTAAGTGTTTTAAATAGAAAGTTTGGGCTTGGTGACTGACAGCATTGGAAGATTCGGATGTTTCGCTTCCCCAGGAAAGAAGCCAATTCATTTTCTCCAAGCAAGCTTTGAGACCCCATGAAACTACAGCAGAAAAGGCATTTTCTTAGCTTCAAGCACTGACTCGTAATAAACACCACGCACAACAAACCTATTCTTTAAGGCATGCTCAGTTTTAAAGGCTTTTAAGGCTACTAATACCCATTAAGATACTCAAAAATACAAGCGGCAATGTAACATTGTTGGAATTCTCTGAAATGCAATGAAAAACCCCTATACATCAGTCAAACAATGCTGAAATGCTGGTCTATATCACAGCATTTCAAAATTAAAGATTTACATGCTGATCAGTGCTGGTCCCCAGCACCCCTAACATGTCATTTGCAGATTATCTAGTTGTAGCCACTTAATTTCATGAATACCAAGTGTACACATGATTTTAAAAAGGGAGGCATGTTGCTTATGTAAAAGCAATCACGTTCTGAGGAAAGGAATAATTTAAAAAAGTGGTTTGAATCAGCATGCTGAAGAGCACGCTGATTTATCACCATGTGTTTTGACCAGGCAAACGTGCTTGCTCCTCCACAAGGCATAATTCTTAACTGGATCTCTTCCAAATTCATCTCATTGACTAAACTAGTCCCGCAAAACCTGTGAAGTTTAACAAGATTAGGCTGAACTTTACTATTTCCCATACACGTGCACAGTGTCACCTCAGGAATTATTTAAAATAACTAACTGGTTGGGAATAGAGTATTTCTCCAAATCAGGGAGCTTCCCTGCAATCCAAACAGTCTGACAGATGGAGTCCACGTGCCTAGGAAAGGGCAACATGTTTCCTGGGAAAAATGAGATTCTAGGAGAAGCCCAGACAGGGCTGCAGCTCACCCCAAACTGGCTCAAAGTAGTGAAGCTTCCTTTGGCACAAACCTGCTGGTTTACAAATACACCAATATACTAAGGTATAAACCAGTGCTTCATTACTTAGAGTTGGCGTCTTCAATGTTTTATGTACAATTTACACATATTAATGTCCAAAGTCCTTGTAAATTTAATTCCAGTTAAAGCCACAACTTGCACTGTCAAGTAAGGAGCTGTAGGTTCTGTTGGAAACAGTGTCAACAAGCGGCTGGGGTGGAGCAGACCACAGGGTTTGTTCATCTACTGTACACAAAACTCATTCTCACTACTTGTTTAATCCTTGTGCTCCAGTTTACCCATAGGGATCCTTAATTCAGCCTCCCAGAAGAAAACACAAATATCTGACTACTTGAGAATTTACTTTCTGAAATAAACTGAGTTGATCTTGGCTCAGGACTGGGCACATGAACTTGAACAATGGTAAGGTAAGGAAGAGATTTTTTGTGATCCTTTGCCAGGCCAAATACAGTCTCCTAAATAAAAACATTCCAGAGTCCTGGAATAGGGCTAAAATCCCAAACTGCTTTAGAGCACACACTGAATGCTGCATCTCCTGAGCCCGAAGATGAAGAACTCTTGGAAAAGCAGCAATGCTCAAGCAACTGCTTTCTGAATGGATTTTATTTTGGTTAGAAGTAGATATATTTATTTGTCACTCCCTCCTAAAAAAAGTTCATCTAATGAATATAGCACAACTGGAAGACAACTGCTTGGTTGCTCTTTATTCCCTAAGTTCTCCCAGCATGTGTTGGCTTCCAGCTTCTATTGTGTTTAAGATCAATTTGGATTCTGGCTGTTTTGCAAATCATTCCCTTTTTTAAAACTAGGATTAAGAGGAAAAGGAAGCACTATGTCTTAGAGGTAACAGTGTTGGGAGTTCCACAAGAAAGCCCTAAGCTCCTGAAGTTAGGCTTAAATACCAAATCTATTTCAGTTGACCCTTCTAAGGAAGGGATCAACTTTCTGGAGAGCAAAATGAACCTGAATCAGAGTTTTAGAGGAAGTCTGGACTTGGCTTTGATAGACCAGTTACATTTGCTGTACCAAGCCAGTCAGGGGAAGATCTGGATGAACCTCCAAGAAAACAATGACCTCCAAGTGTCTTGAGAACGTGCACTTACATAAGGTGAGCAGTCAACAGCAGGAGAATCAACAAGCCTTGTGACCACGTTCCAAATAAACACTTTGCTCTCCAAACCACACGCAGTTTCAGAGCAAGGGAAAACTGTCTGTCTTATTAGAGGTCTAGCTATCAGCCTCTCTGATTCGTCAATTATGGCTTGGTGGAAACAAGCCATGAATTCAGAGATGTTTCTGATGTAAGCCATAAGAGAGGACACTTATCTGGCCTAGCTACCTGTAGCTAGGTGCTTCCCCAAGCACCTCAGCTCTTCTAGGCTTCATACTTAGCTTCCCAGCCATAATCTTCCACCTTCCTCCAAGCCAAGGACTCCTCAGCACCTGTTTGCTAAAAGGCCAAGGCAGCTGCTCCAGGTTTCAACTCCTCCAACGCTTCCCTCTGTCCATCCCACTCCTCCCCAGGAACCACAGAAGACGGCCTGAAAGACGCTCAGCTTTGTGGGCACCATCTCAGAAGTGACACACGATCCCCCTACATTCTGAAGCTGGCCAAATTTACCAGCACCTTATGTAAGGGGTATGACCTTAACAGTGTACTTTGTGCTCCCAGTGAGCAGGACCTCTATTCAAGCCCCTGTTTCTATCTCCAGGGACAGAAAATCTCCACTTGCAGCAACCTGCATTACCCCGTGGCCAGGCTTTACAGAAGACCTGTTAAGAACAACTCAAACAGCAAGAACTTTCTTTGAATTTGTACAGGACATAACAGAAGTCTGAATACTTGACATACAGATACCCCTCCTATTTCCACAAAGCCTACAATTTTGCTCTATTGAAACAATCTGCAAGTCATTCTCTGGACTAAGGAACAAACACAAATACATGGCAGGCAACAGGACTCGGTTAGCAGGACTATTTAATATGTAAGATATGTCAAGTATCCTATAAAACTTGCAGCTTTTTTGCATAAATTTACTTCTATTTATTTTTAATTTTTAATTTTTATTTTTTTAAGAGAGGAGGGAGAAGGGAACCATAAAAACAAGCTTCAAAAAAGTTGTCAGAAAGATACATTGTAAGATAAGATTAGTTCACCTTTACACAGACCAGGCAATAGAAGTATTAAATTGCTAACTAAAAATAATAGTAGGAAAAAAAGCTTAAATGAAAGAAATTTCATGTTTTCATTAAGCCTGATTTTGACAAGGTTAATGCAACTTTTAGTCAGAAACACAAGTACTGATAAACTAAATCCAGACTGTGCCCATCTAGAGACAGAGGAAAAAAAAGGTTTCTTCCAGCAAGTCTCTTCCAGAGGAAATGCCAGCTTTACACAACTGCTTATTGTCAGCAGTTTTAGAAGTTACCAAACAAATTATTTGTTTTGCTTTGGGACATGGAAAAGAGGGAAGAAAAGGCTGTTTAAACAAGTTCTGCTCTAGCTCTAGGCCCCTTTGACTGCCCTGAGATCATCCAGGAGGCTGAGGATGTGATACCCTAGGTTAAACACAGGCCAAGATAAGCATTTCTTCTGCACAAGGACTAATATGGACTCATTTATTTCCAACTAGCCTGACAGTGTCCTTATGACCCTATCCTGTAACTGCAGTTTGAAAGAGGATGCCATTTCATGTGCAATTACACATTTTCTTCCTCTGAAAGAAAAAAGTCAAGTACCAACACCAAGTGTAAGTGAGGCTGGGTCATATTTGGTCAGATTGCTGCCTTCTGTCGACTTGACAACAGTTCCATCACAAGAACATCCAGCTGCCTCTGCTGTGTTGTAATTTTTGATTTTTTCATGGGCTCGTGAAACCTTTAACTTTCCTCATTCAAGCAACAAAGTCTTATGTAGTGCCTTAAAACACAAGGTTCTTCCCTTGCACCACTCTACTCTTCTGCAACACCACAAACTCGCTATGTAAGGTAGCAACCACAGACCCCGCTCCAGCCACAACGCAGAACTAAGTTTTCGTTTGTCCCCAACTCTTCTGCTATGTTCGGTGAAGCTAAAGTTTCAGTTCCTCACTTCCCTTTTTGGTCACAGAGACCTGGAAAAACTTGCCTACTTGGACCTCAATGCAGACAGCCATTCTATTCCCAACCATCTACAAAAAATACCTGTTGAGCACAAACATTTTAGCTTCCTTTCTTGAGTGAGATTATAGAAACATTCCATTATGTTGTAATTCAAATAACGTCAAACTTAGTTTCTTACCTGATTTTCTTTAGCAGAAGACTCCAAGAAAGCTGCATTCCAGGATTCTGCTAAAGCTTTCCCTTCTTCATAGCTGATCACCCTAACCAAAGAGAAAAATCATGTTTCTTTGCAACTTTCAGAAGAAATGGAATTTGTTGCACTTCAGGAAAATCGTCAGAGCACCAAAACACATAACCTCTATATATGCAACATACCTATTACACTAGGATTTTTTGTGAGCATCTGCTATTGGCTATTGTCAAATCACTACTGGGCCAAGTAAAATCTGAATGACCGGGAAGAGCAGTTGTCCCAAAGCAGTTTCACCTTTATAATCTGTAATATCACTGAGTGTTTTATGGTTGAGGAACACACTTCTGCTTGTTGTTTTGGGAAAGAAAAGTGTTAAACTACTGTCCTCAGAACCTAGTAGCATAAATCAACATCAGAACAAAAGTTCATGGCTTTTAGTTCACACTCTGGACGCAATTCCTTTGCCAGCGCCTTATTTTAACCTTCATTTTTTAAAAAATTTCAGTTATGGAAAGCCAAGAACAAAACTACTGTGCTGCAGCCACAGGAATGCCTGCTGCTGTCTTGCATTTCCCACAGACTGGAGGTCACATACCGTTCCATATGCAGGTCTTTTTTATTTCCAACCAGCATAATGGGTATTCTGTGAAAGAAAGTTCAGAACTTCAGAATAGTTATAGTATACTGAACAAAGTACTAGTAACATGCCTGCAATGAAATGAGATGAAAGTGTCACTACTTACTGGACTTTTCCCACCATATCCAATAACTTGCCATGGATAACTTTTATCACTTCAAAACTGCAAAATAAAGGGATGAAGTCACACATGCACTCCAATGTTTATCCTTAATACCCGATACACAAGCAATTAATTGAATACATAGATTGCCGTGTTTAAAACTTATTCTAGGTATAATGGCCAAACAGTAGAGATGCTGAAAGTGCTACCAACTTGCATAAAACACACAGAATGGGCCCAGAAATGACAAAAGGCTACTCTTCTGCCTAGCATTACAGCCTCCCCAGTTATGATATTTGCAGAAATAACAACATCACTTAGCACTGATGCATCTAATACATAAATACTAAGAATATACTCCCCCCTGCCCCCACCTGCTTTGTAAACGCAGTAAGAAGTTTAACTACTACAGTCCAACAAACCTGGATGAGCCTGTCAAATAAAAGCACAGTTCCAAAGTAGAATGCAGTTAAGTGCACTCTGCCTTAACTTAGTACAATGCTTTTTAAGAAAACTCGGTTGATATAGAATTTTATGGTTTCATGCATGTGAAAGACAAGAGACATCCAAGTTACAGCTCTATGGGATGCGAGCAAACTGATCTGCAGGGAGGGTGGTCCTGGCACGGTGGTTATTGAAGGATTTGTCTGTTCACCTATAATGTACATGAGGTTTGAATGACTGGAGGTAAGAAGCAGCACCATGAAATGCCAAGAAGCCTGAGGCCTCGCTAACAAAGTCCGCTGCTAAATTTGACATTTAGCACTTTTCAGAAGGGGTCATAAACAGGATTAAAGAGTAGATGTTGGGCTCCTCCAATTACATTATGGAAAAAAAGCACCCACACACCAAGGGCACAATTCAGTTTTGTTTAAAGAGAGAAGCACAGATTAGATACGCAAATATATTGCAACAACAACCAGAAAAAGGGGACTGAAACTTTTCCAGCTTCGGAGCTTGTTAGCCACAGGCAGCATCTTGACTTGCGCTGCATTTTAATTAGAATTCAGGCACTTAAAAATAGAACAGCATTCAAATACACTTCCAACCCACACTCCTGAAAGAACTGGGGCCTACAAGCGCTATTCGAGCCATCTAAATCATTAAAAATTCTCACTTCCGAAACAAGAAAGGTTACTATATATTTAGAAAGGATTTTGTGTTTACGAGGTCTGGCTGTCCGACTTTGGCAGTAATTTTAGAGACAACATATGCAAGTGAAAGGGGGAGGCCAGAACACAACCCTTTCATGTTCAGTTCCTCGTTCTCTTACAGAAACAAGTTCTTTGCAAAGGAAAAAGTAGTGGCTTAGTCTGGCACAACTTACTACTAATGGAGCAAGAATGATGCTACACATTAAATAGAAAAATGTAGGAAGCAAAGGAAGTACTTGAAGATACAAACGGCTTATGCTGAAAAGTTGTTAGTGAAAGTCTGGTCGAGGACTGGTCTTAAAACTAATTCTCACTTTCCTCTAATTATTTAAAAAGGGAGCTTGCCTGTGTCAAAATTCAGAGTTCTGCTAAATGTTCTACAGAAATATGACTTTTTATGCACCTAATCCCTTCATTTCCCAATTCAGGATAACTGCTCATCTAGAACAGTTCAAGAGTTCAGTTTTTAGCTAAAAAGATTAAGAAGAAACAACCCATCTCTATGAACAGATCAAGGTGGACAACAGAACATAAGCACTATTTAAACTAAAATTAAAAAAAAAAACCACAGAAACAAGTTGCTAAGATGTGCCTGGAATAAAATTGGCTTGACTAAATCAACTGAAAAATTTAGAAAACCTTCCAAAGTAAAAAGCCAGGGCAAAGTTTGAAATAGGTAAAGAGTAACAAAGTCCTAAAACTGCAAGAGATGTAAATACCACAAAGACCTTTCCAATTTAGTCAAATAAACAATATTACAATAAATCTATCAATGTGTGAAAGGAATCAAAAATGTACAAACTCTCAGACAAATGCATTATACAAAAAAATCACAAAACTTTGCAGGATACAAAACTGGAATTTAATTAAGCTAAACTAGAGCAAAAGCCTTTCAGTAGCCTTGCTGCTGAGAGTCTGGGAATATGAAAAAAGTAGGGCACCAGCTTTTGCTCAAGTCCCATTTAAACTTCCCATTGGAATTTAGCAGATTATTGTACATTTTTTTTTTTTAAAGCTATTTGTATTACTTGCTGCCAAAGCTGCTCCTCTGCTAGATCAATACTCAGATCAATATATGTACTTTGACTCAAGTGACAGGAAACGGAGCAGTGGATGTAATCTACAGTACTGCACCTCAGATGACCCCTAGGCAGCCAGAAGACCTCTGCTCTGCTACCTGAACACTGTCTTGGTGCAGAACAGAAGCTCACGTATAGAACAGGACGTATTATTGATGCTTGCAAGTTTACAGGAAGAAACAAAAACCTGCAATTAGTTGACTAAGACTCATATTGATGGATTTCATATCTACTTGCACGGCTCTTGGTATATCCTATTCTAGCAGTATTTTCGCCATAACTGGTTTCTATTTAAGTGCTACTACAGGAAAAAAAAAATCTGTTATCTAGACTGTTGAGCATTAAAATAATCTAGATTAAGAGGACTTGAGATGCCCAATTTTGTCTAACTTGAGAGTAAAAGGGATGTGATTTACAAAAACTTGTGAGTTTCCATTTTACCTTTGGAGAACCAGGTGTTAAGTATGAAGAGGCAACATCCCCTGAGCCTCCTGTAAAGATGAAGTGAAAGGCCTCAGGGCTTAATCATTTTTCTCAAATAAGAATCAGGTGAGAAGGGTTTTTTTTTTTTTTTTTTTTTTGCTGTCATAATGAAGATGTTGTAAAATACCCCAAAAGCCAAGACCTATTCAGACCAGTATTTCATCAAAGCAAGAAGACCAGAAGGAGACGAAATAATGGAAGATGACAAAAATCTCCCAACGAGGCCTAAATGCTTTTACAAGCATATGATGGACTCCATGTGTTATGATGGAATCAATCCTAATGTCTAAGAAGGGACTGCAGTGAACTAGGTGGAGGGAAATATTCCCTGGAAAATTTGAAAAGGATTCTTGTTTCTGCACTACAAGAGTCTCTCCGCAGGCCAGAAGTCCTCTATTGTACAGAAGTTTTCGATGATTAACAAGAATGAGGTAAGACAGGAGGAAGCAAAAGAAGAACAAGGCTTGTTAGAAGCTTCAGGGCTGAGGGACAGAGCTAACAGCCAAGTGAGTGATTCATGTAAGTCTATGGAGCCCCTTTAGCTCATGTTTAACTCTGTTTTTCTATCTAATGCTGGAGTAATGAACTTTACTCATTTCCGAAATTAATCTACATACTCTTACTTAGGCCTCACCACACAGTTCAATTCTTCTCATTTCTTACTTAGTAAGTTTTTTATTAGTTAGCAAAATGCCTGTGACATTTGGATCTGAAGTGAAGTTTCTGGAAAGCCATCAATTTTATTTCCATTTTACTCATAAGGGGAAAGAGAGAATAAATGCATTATATACATGTAAACAAAATACAGTGGAGCCAGGAGCTGAACCCAGAGTGCATCTGGTTGCTACCTGAATCATGAAAATATAGCAAATTTTATTACCTTTTTATTGATGTGACTGAATAAACAAGAATGTATCCATTGATGTCTATGGAGTAAGTCTGAGGAAATATGGAGTATTCATCCTGTGGACGGAATATTGCATTTAAAGTTACTTATTGCCACAGCTCAAAACTTGATACTACCAAATCATCAGCAGTTAATAGCATTTATAACATCTGAGGTGCATGACTTTCATATGTAGTAATTCAAGAACTGATGGTTATTTTTTTCTCCCCCTCCATCATAATGTATAATCTTTATGAAATTAGAAGAAAGCGAAGCAATCCTAGAGCGCAGCCTGAGTTAGTCTGTATACTCTTAAAAAGAAAATAATAATCCACAGCCTTTCTGGTTTATTCCCTTTAAGACTAAGGATCAGCCAAAGCTATTCCAAATCCTCTTACCATGCTTAATTATCAGTTTATGTTAGTACAAAACATCCACTCAGCACTACCCCTAATTAGCAGTTACACCCCTTATCTTGCTAGTGATACATTTCCATCAAAATGCCAGATTTCAACAGTTGAAGACAGGATCTAGCAGCTTCATATTTTAAGAGACACTTACACATAACAAAGTTATTTAAGAGATCTGCAAGGAACTGAGCAACTGCAGCTTAACAGCTAACTAGAGCTTATGGACTATAAATGGAAGAATTATTATTTATTGGTTGCTTTATGATAACTAGTGGTTTTCAGTAACTTTTTTTGAATGAAATATTTGCTACGTAATCAATCACTGAATTTATTTTCCCATATAGAAAACAAGCTGTCCTAAAAGATTAATGAAACAGATTTGAAAGAAGATAGAGAGATTGAAGGGAAAAAGAACTATAAATCCCATGATAATAAATATTTTAATAGATGTTCTCAGGGAACATTTACATTTTGACAAGAACTATACATCTTAATGTAGGTGTATAATGCAGATACAACTCCATAATGTAGATCTTAATGCAGATACATCTTAATGTAAGTTCTCTTTTTTTTTCCCATCTGTCTGTCTTAAGATGTTAATTTTAGCTTAAAGATTATACAACTTCTATATATTGTCATGACTGAGCAGATGGAGCAGTGCAATCAGTCAGCTCGAGTCTAGATAGCTAAAAGAAACCAAATTTCCATTATCAAGTAAACGGGGGGAAAAAAATTAAAGCAATTTCTTCACAGATTCTCCCAAAATGCATTAGAAAATAACACTTTATAAAAGATGCCCTTATTTGCTTTTACAGCTACACGCTGAGGCCAACCCACCCCCATCTTTGTGCGATTGCCAAATGACTGCTCCAGTTTGTCCTGTGATCCAAAAGTCAACACAGAAGGAAGCTGAGCTGCTCGGCATGTGCAACAGGTGAAAGTGCAAGCCCAGATATTGGGTTTTATCTGGAATTCCTCGGGACTGTCCCATTAGGAGAACAGGTTCAGGTAAGATGTGTTCTGACGCTTCTCTTTGGTGATCCCATCATCCTGGGATATCTGCTTCCAGGAAATGTGTAAATCTGAGCTGATGGTCACAAAAGGTAAAGAGATAAGGGACAGAAAAGGAGCAGCAAAAAAGTGCTGCAGCCTCTAATGATTCTTGTTCTCAAATATTTCTCGTTCGTGGCTTAAAAGTGTTTGGCTTGTTTGAAGTTTAAGTAAATAAATAAATAAAAAGCCAACCACACCCCCACCATTCCACTTCCTGGAATTCCCGAGTCAAATCGAGGACTTTGGTAAGTGACAACAATGTGGCTGTGACTTTGTTTTTAAGTGTATGTTTTTCAAGTATATTTTTAAATACAAATCAAATTTGCTATGCTACATACATTTATGCATAATGATTCCTATGGAAAGGGCGCAGTGGTGACCAGCACAAGCTGGCAGTACATACCTAAAGCCTGGTTATTCAGTCTTACAGTTCTCTTTAGAAAAAGGACAAATCACCCACAGCCCTCTGAATACTCCCCAGATTGGAACAGTGTCCTCCTATAGTCTTCAAGAATTACGTACTATCAATGTATTTGTCCATGCTATGATTATTTAATGCTACTCAGTTCAGAAAACCCCATAATAGGAATAATACCAAACCCATGGTGGGTAAGATCATGTAAACAGTAATAAATTCAAGATAAGACGACAGAGTTTAACACTGCTCCCGCCTTTTTAATGAGGTCAGGGCATTTTTGTGCCTGCAACGCGCACTCACCTGACAAGCAGCATCGTTTAATGAAAACTTGTATTTCACGAAGCTTATTAACCATGTCATAGGACACAGGGCCTCATCCTGCATTCCTGTTCGGTACAGCTCAGAAGCTGGCATGAGCTATCACTTAATTTAAAATTTAAACAAACTGTACTAGCTTATAGGTAGCACTGCCTATAGGCACTTGTCCACCTCTTGGGAACACTTCCTAGATGTAAAATTACTATGATAGAGCTAGCGTGTACGAAGGGAAAAAGGAGTCATGAACAATTTCTGGCCAGTTAATTGAAGTGATGTTCTCTATTTGAAGCAGGAATGGTCAGTTTAGTCCATCCACATTAAGGACTACTTAAAAGCACAGATATTTAGTATGTCTGAGTTAAAATGGTTCCCCCCCTTTTTTTTTTTAAGACATTATCTACTTTAAACAATAGCTACTGTATACCATAAAAACAACTGCTCTCGGTGAACATATAACAGGGAAGCAGCGTCATTTAAACTAAATTCTAGTTTCAAACACATGGGTCACTACCACTTCAGTTCTACTCTAGTATGAACACCTGTGGTCTTAATCATGAAGAAACAGTCCAAAAAAAATACTTACTTGGCCAGCAGTGTCAACCAGCTGAAGATGATATTCTTGGCCATTTACTGTGATCAGTTTTGTAAAAGCTAGAACACAAGAAATACATGCACATTTGAGAGTTGTAAGCAAGGAACAGATCAGCAATCATCGCTCTGCAGCAAGGAGTTTGAGCATTAAGTACATTTTAGGCAGCAGGAGGCTAGATCTCATGGCTGGGCACTCAACTACCATATTGCAAATGCTGAAACCAAGAAATTTACTTTAAAATTGCAAATTTCAGATGATTCCTGCACTGGATGCAGCTGGTTTTAATTTTAAGCAACTCTAAAGGAAGGAATAAAGATTTTTTTACATGTATTTCAAAGAGACTTCAGGGCAACCATATTTTGTGGTAACTTGAAACACTTAAATACCATTAGCATCAAAGCTGACTTTAAACTGAGCCCAGGATATTTTCCCCGTTTTCAAAGGAGTTCAACAAGATCAGTTCCCTAAATGGAAGCACCATGAGGCAAATGTCCTACATTAGGGGGAAAAAAAAAAAAAAAAAAAGAGAGACATCTGTGGAGCAAGACATACACTGACTAGCTTTGAATATGATAAGCTCAAATAGTGAAGACACAGCTCTAAGCTCATGCGTTACTTCTACCTTCGCTGTGGCTAGCGGCCTATCTGCTCCTTGGTCAGGGATTAAGTTCTGAGCCGGGAGCTGCTCCTGGGCCTGGGTTTTACCCGGTCCCAGGGCGGCTTCGGTCGGCACTCGCCTCGTGCAGCCACCAGAGCGGCCAGTGCAGGGGCTGCACCGTGTGAGGCAGCCAGGGCGCCGCCCGAGGCGGGAGAACCAACAAGCCCCGGCCGCCATTTCGCGCCTCCTACATGCTCACCTACGGTGGTTACCTCCTACATGCTCACCTACGGTGGTTACCAACACCCCGATGCACTCAGCAAGGATTAACACCCTCCTCTCGCTGAGCACCAACAGGCACGAGAACCTGCCCATCCTGAACAGTCTAACAGCTTCCCCAGGGCTGTGAAGTTGAAGGTTCTCTGCCCAGCTGGTCTGCCTCATGCCTACTTACCTCTTTCACATTTTATATGTTTTGCGTGTGCTAAAATACACTGTTTCTTACAAACTGCAGCTAGCCAACCCGCCTCCTCCTTTTCGCCAGCAACATCCGCTGCCCCATCAAGCCTTCACAACGTGGGTACTATATTCAATAAGTGGTCTGACTCCTCACTGGAGTATCCAAGGCTGCTGAGTAAATCAAAGGGATTTTTAAGACTTGCCTCTTTCCAGGGGGCTCATTCAATAGATAGTCTGCCTTAGTTTTAGGCTTTGCTTTAGTCTAAACCATATGTATCATTAGATTTCTCGTAAGTATGGCTTGAATGAAGCCTCAACAGGAGGATCTGGACATACCATGCCTGTCCCCAAAGAGGGGCAGAGCTCATGTGCAAATAGAGTGGACAAGTCACCCCGGGACACTGCTGTCATCCCTGCACAAAATATTAGGGTTATGAGGCATGAATCCACAAAAGCAGTTACCCTTCTTTATATGAATTCCTTCTGCTTTACATGAATACTACGGTGGGAGCAGAAGCAACTAATTCTTTGAATACAGCAACACACAGGATCACTACAAAATCACTGCTTCAAGTTAGACAAAACCCAGACTCATCTGGAGGGATGCAATATTTTACCAGGTGCATTTTGCTTTCCAGTCTTTCGACACTTTACATACCTACATACCATAAGTTTTCAAGAAGCTTATGAAGCTAATATTTAAAACGGAACAGAGACAGATGGCAGCTTTTGCAGACCACTCTAGAAACCTAGAATAAACTTAGGAGAGGCACCGTCATCAGCACCAAAAAAATCCAACTGTGACAAAGGAAATGAGTGGGAGAGTTACCAGGGGCTGGGCAAGAGGAGCTCGCCAGCAGACTTTCAGCACGAAGCAGAGCCTGCTTCCCGAGCCTAAATCTGCTTTAAGTCATAATGAACAATTGCCATTTCTTTGCTGATGCTTGCTCAAGCTCCTGCTAAAAAATCAATCCCGAGAAAGCTGCATTAAGTGTGATTAAAAGTGATCGTTTTACACGAACTGCTCAACACACACGCTTCTCTCCTTAGTCCTGGAGAGACCTTTCCTTCCAAGATTCCCAGCAATCACTGGCACTACCACATAAGGGTAAGAAAGCAGAAAAAACTGTTCTCGTGGAGCTACTTCCCGATTGCTACATGGGGCTACCCTGCCAGAGCTCCTCAGCTATTACTTTCTGCAGCTTTCCATTAGGGCCTATCTTATCTTCATTCCAAAGTCAATACCTGCTGCTAATCCGTCAGGACATCTTTCATAACCTTTAAGATGTGTAATTCAATGCAGCTAAGCTCCAGCTTTCGCAGAAGACGCCATCCTCCCCTTGGGAAGGCGGCACGGGACACTTCTAGGAACCCCTTGGCAGCTCTGGAAAGCAAAAATCAGCCGCATAGGACTGAGAGGAGGTGGGCAAGAGCTTCTTTGAGATCAAGGGGATCACATCAAGTTTGCTTCAATGTAAAGTCACTGAGTCAGCAACACACAAGGACAAACCTGCAGGGATGTGGGTACAGTGAATTGTATACCTCTTTTCATTTTTGAATCAAAGAAGGTTATTTTTATACTGCAAAATAAAAATATTAGAATATTAGGTCATGTCCTTCCTGTTGAAGGCTTAAGTGTTGTGCCTCTGTCCAATAACTCCAATCCTTGGTGCCAGTCTCCTCATTTGAGCACAAGCTCAAATGCTCAAAAGCACTAAGCTACTAGCAATGAAAATTTTGAAGTCTAGTGCACCATTTGGTGCTAGTGAATATTAAGTATTCCCATTCTACAGAGACAAACTAAATGAAATGAAAAACAATAGAGAATTGTCTGTGTTTTGCAACACTACTGCAAGATGAAAGTTTGCAAGATTTTGTAATCTTGCAAGATCTTGTAATCTTGAAAAACACAACATTTTCCAGCTTCCTTCCTAGCACAGGAGCTGGAATTCTTAAGCTCTTTTAATAGCACTGTTAATTAGAGATCAAAAAATACAAGCCAGGAAAATAATAAAGAATTATCAAGACACTCCCAGTGTCTTACGACCCTGCACAGAATCAGACACATACAGCTGAAAGAGGCAGAAGATTTGATGTGCCAAAGATTTGTATTAAAAAAAAGAAACAGCATTTTAGAAAAAGATTTCAGTCAAGAAGAATGTTTTTATATTACCTTTTTAAAACTGCAGTTCCACCTGCCCATCTTAAAAAAATTAAAAAAAAAAAAATCACACACACACACTACAATATAGTTTAGACTTCAATGGCAAGTCTCTAAGTATTATTGTCTTTGTTATTCATAAAAATATTTTAAAAACATTCTTCCTCTGAGGCCTTTCACTGCTTAGAGAAAAGACAGACTTCCTACTGGTTTGAACCTCAGGGCAAATCTTTCTTTTCCATTCTCATGCCCAGCAACAAGTTCTGATGCAAGAAGTACCCCATTCTCTACCTCTCAGAAAGGAGATTCCTTCAGCCACACCACAGATCACAAGACTTTCACCAAATGAATAATGCTGTTTTTCTGAACAATTAAAAACCCAAGTGGAAAAGACATGCTTAGTCAAGACACTCAGCCTGCAGATAAATTTTAAAGTCATGACGTACCTAATGTTATATCTGTACCAGTGGAGATTACAAGAATCAAATAAACCCAGAATTCCTCAAAGTTGAATGCTTTATATCCACATATATGTGGATATCATCAGGCATAGTAGACATCATAGAGACTCTAATCAAATTTAGGTGAAGGGTAAATGTGATGCTCAAAATTATTAACTTTTCAGACAATCACTCCGACCTAATAATATTTTTGAGGAACTTTAATTCAAAACAAACCTTAGTTCTAACAAAGAACCATGGGATTGTGAAATTTAGTAACAGAGAGAAGAGAACATCCACATAAAGACTAAAATGTCACGCAAGTCAAAGGGCAAGTTAACCACTTGCTGTAGCAAAGTTACATTTCTTCAACTAACAACTAAAATTCTAATTCTAGACCATAAATGAAGTAAAATATCTTGATAGCTATTGAGTTTTAATTATGAAGATGTACCTTAAAAGTAACCCTTTTCTCCTGAGATATCATTTGGATTTCCAGGCAACCATGCAAGTTCAACATCCCTCTGCACAAGGCAGAATGGGTAAAAAACAGGCACTATCAGTGCGCTTCACAAGTCACCAGGACACAAGCTCTGGGGTTACCACCACGAACAAGGTTTCGCTATGCAGGTTACCTCTGCATAACACCAAGTTGCTCATGTACTTTACAGCCACTGCTAGATCCCAAGAAGGTGGCTGGACTGTAACGAATACTGAGTAACTTGTCTCTCGAGTGACTTGTTACTCTTGACAGTATTTTTAGTATTGCTGTCTTTACTTAGCCACTATTCACAAAGTCACTAATATTCAAAAATATTCAAAAAAACTTCACAATCGCCTGAGAGGAGAGTTACCAGCATTTGTCGTGGGTGAGCAAGACTTGTTCCCCTTCCTATTGTGCAAGGGGAAATGAGCAGTTTAAAGGCAGCCCATGTTATCATGACTGCAGCCCATTTACTCTCTAAGGTACTCACTTGCTCCTGGAACAGCTAAATTTTGTGTTCATCTAGCTATATCAATCAAATGAGAAATCTGAGGTTTTATAACCATATAGCAACACATTTACACAGAGGTATAACATCATTAATCTGAATTGTCCTGAATTATCCTGGGTGAAGCAGATGTTCAAACAACGTACATATAACACATGAAGCAGATACGTTTTAGCCAGATTGGTTTGTTCTGTCCTTTTGTGTTGGAACAATTTAGTTGCTTGGAGAGAGATGCACACAATCTCCAAGCTGCAACGCTGTTAAGTGTGGTACCCATTGGTTTAAGAGAGAAGCTGCTGAATGCACGAGCTAGAGCATTAATACCTAAGTGTCCCCACAAATACAATACATACAATCAAAATGACTTCTGCTAAGAGCTGATGCCATTTAGAGAAGCCACTTGAGAAGCAACTTGCCAGTTATTCACTTACTATTTTCTATGGTTGGATCATATGAATCAACAAACTGTCCTTCCACAAACTGAATCGTCAGTGAAGATTTTCCTGTAAAGCAAGGGAAAGAGAATTGGTATCAAAACAAGTCTTTGGGTTGTCATCACATTACATTTACACATAGATACACTGATTTTTTTTTTTTAATAAAAGCTAGTATGAATCCTCTATGATTCACTTAAATTATCTGTACAAGACAAATGACCTGTATTTTTGTATTTTATGTATCGTATGTATTTTATTTAAGTGCCTGTTTCTGGCAACTGGATCATCAGAACATATACTGAGAATAGTGCAAAAGCAGAAGCTCAGAATGTGCTCTGCTTTAGCATAAATCCTAAAGCATCGCTCAAGCTTCACTTTCCACTTTAAAAAAACCCCACAATCTAAAAGCAGCATCATCCAAATCTCTCAAGGCCAATTTTACTCTCATAAGATAAATGATTATCCTTGAAAGATTTTTCATCCAGAAGTAGGGAAAATGAGGAATAACTTTCAGTCACTGCACGGAAAATTAGAAATTGGAAAGAAAAAAAAAAAAAAACAGTCCAATTCAGTCAGTTTTGACTGACTAGTTTCACTGGGATATTAGACAGCTTTTCTTTCACAGAAAATTGATCTAAAAATTCTTGAGATCAATTTATTATCCTCTATCCATTATCTTCATGCTCCACTGCAAAAAATAGTGAATGCTATGTTTAAAAAAAAAAAATAGTTGTGAAGAGATTTACAAGACAGTAAAACATGAACCAGATAAACTGCCCGTAAAAAGCAATTTTTAAAGCTTTGAAGCTTTGCAAATACATTTCAAAGCATTACTAAAGTCTTAACACTCTTCCCATTGCAGCACAGCTCCTACATTCAGGAATCTACTAGATCCTATTACATTGTGTTTACTGGACAAATATAATCTTACAAAGCTTGCCAAGTGTGTTAGCTGCTTTGGGACATGAATATATTTTCCACACGTTTACATTCTCACCGGCAAGAACTGCAAACAAAACATAAATCTCAGGTTAAAAATCCATCAACTACCTGCACCATTTTTTTTCCCCTCAAATAAAGTTATTGGATACAATTTCCTAATAAAACTAACAGCAGAGCTACCGATATCCTACATATCTTGGACTGGTTCAGAGAGCATTGTGCTGCAGGCCTTGCAACAGCAATCAAACAGAGAAGAAATAATGATCAGCATCTGAAGTCACCCTGAAAAGGAAGACGCATTTCTGTACAAGAACCAAAACTTTACATTTGAGGAACTTTCTGAAACATATATATATTTGTTATTTAATATGTATGTATATATTTATATATATTTTAGAAAGGAATGAAAGGAGCCTGAAAGCTATTTCTTCTTCAGTGTATAAGCTTCTGAAGAGGTTACTCAAGGTTCACGCTTCCAGATACTTTGTCAACAAAACACAGGCTGATTTAAAATTAAAAACAAAAAACAAAAACAAGCAAACAGGAAGAAAAACCACAGACCTCTATTTTAAAACAGGAAGTCGATTTTTTTCTGTTTTAGGCTTTTATCTTGGCATATCTGGAACAGCCATGCAGCTAATCACATCTGAACATCCCTCTTCCTCCTAAGAGGGATTCGAGACTTGCCGAAGGAGGCGACTGCTCTGTCTTTACTAATTTGGAAGCTGAGTATTAGAAAAAAGCCAGAGCCAACACAAAATGCTGCACTTAGCTGGGCTAATTACTGCAAGAAAAAGACAAAAACCAGTATTCCTAAACTCTGCTACCCCGCTGCAAGCTTTACAAGAAGCCTCTAGCACCGACGTTTCTCTGGTCCCCGGGGGACCTTTTCTAGGTTCTGCTTTTTCTGGGTGTGTGGGGAGGGACTTCACAGCCCTGGATTCGGCCACATCCCGCTGGGCTCAGGGCCTGCAACGTGAGCTGGCTGTGCCTGGACCTGCAGGGGAGCACCCGAAACCCAAACCCTCCCCGACCAGCACCCGGCTGCACGTGGCAGGCGTAAACATGGCCTTTCCTTCAACCTTGCCCCACATATTTAGTCCAGGCCTTTGAATCATATTCGTGGAAAGGGAAAAAATGAGGTTCTCTCCCCCATCTCCTCTTCCCTCAGGAGGTGTTCTGGAAGGGAAGGTGACGTTCCCGAGGCAAGGAACCGCACACAGCTCGTTCCAAGGGATGCGCCGCCCCCATCCCCACATGGCACAGCCAGCTGCAGCCTCAAAGGAGGACGAGGCTGGGGCAGGTCACTCACATCAGCAGCAGTTGATTCCTCACGGGTTCATTATCTCTAAAAAGGCTAATTGGCAGCAAGCGCCAGATGCTTTTCAGCTTGCTGAACCATCTCTTGTACTGTCCTCCATGCTGGTATTTTTAGTGCATCCGCTGTCCTCGAGTTTTATGGAAAACTAACATCTGTTGAGACCAAGAGGTCTCAACATGAGCAGAAACACGGCAAGATGGCAGCGGGAAGCTGCTCACTCAGCTGATGCAGACTTAGAAATGGAAGGTTTCCTGAAAAAGATCATGGTTTAACCTCTAAATTCTGCCTAGGATCAGAGAACTTAGCACAACCAGGAAGGAACAGTGAACGGATCAACAGAGAGCAGTAATTAAGTAATTTGCTTAATTATTAAACATTTAACAGCTGGCAACATCTAATTGATTCACACCATCAGCCTAACCTCTTACAGCCTGGGAGCCCAATCTACTCTGTTTTACCTACAGAAGAAACTGAGTTTTAAGATTTGTCATAAAAGGTTTCATATTTGACAGTAAGGCAAGATATTGTTGCAAGAAGCCCCCCTAGAGTAGAACAAGGGGTCCGAGTGACAGTGCATAAACAGAAGTCTCATGGAGAAGACGACACTGCAGGACCAGCTTGGGGTTTCTCAGGTTTCCTCCACAAGCCAGCACACACCCAAGAGGGGGCCATTCCGAAAAGAAGCCAGATGCCTTCCTGGATGTCCTTGATGTCCTTCAGATATGGGTGCAGTGGGTCACACTCCCCATCACAGCCACAGGCCCCACACACCCGACAGGACCGAGCTCTCAAACCACGAACCAAGAGGCTGCAGCAACGCTCCCTATGTGAGATTTGCTGCAAGAGGAGCCAGGCAGCAGGTGCTTGGCCCCCATCGGATGCTCCACATCACACTGGCTCTATCCAGCAGTGCTGCTCTTCCCTCAATGTTCACTTGGGTTCTGCTTGCCAAGAAATAGATATTAATGCAAGCATTGAAGGGAAAAAAAAAAAAAAAGCTGTTTTGCTGTAACAGCTTAGGTACCACTTCCAGATATCTATTTTGTCTCCATCTTTAAGTCAATGACCCTGCACAGGATTGGCAATAGAAACGTTTTAGTCATTTTAGCACAGATTCCAGTTCTCTCTGCTTGTTACCTTGTTGGCAGAAAGACGCAGAGTTTTCCCAGTATTTCTCTTCTAATGAGGCAAACAATTTTAATTCCTTGTGTTTGCCATCAGTTGTCAGAAACATTAAGGCTGTTCCAACACTTGGAAAGAAATAAAACACATGCAGGGGCCATTCGCGGCCTTCATTTCACATGTATGGACAGCTACATCCAAGACACATCAAGCGGGTCACGCCAACCTCAACATGGACTTTGCTAAACGTAAAACATTTAGATATTCATCCACACCTAAGACAGGCAGCCAGTATATTTTGTGCAGGGCAGCACTTTACCATTTCCCTCCCCACAGCACCCTGGCTAAACCCTTAGGCTGGCAATATAAGCTCAGATGTAACATAGCAGGCATATCCTGCTCCCATAATCAGGAGTGTGCAAACCTATTTCCACAGGAAACGTTGGACAGGACAACTTGATACACTCTGCTCTTGTTCAAGGAAGACCCACTGAACTTAAACAAAAAAATCAGACTCTAATATTTAAGTTCTGACACTCTCATGAGGGCAATGATGAGGACAATACTTTGAGCTTTGTATTGATTTTTTATTACTATTTCCAAGAGGCAAAACGCAATTCTTACTGCTGGGTGGAAGCCAAGCAGTCTCTCACTATTCACACACGTCAGGCAGCTTTTAGGTATCTGAATAAACCTGACCTTTACCTTAGATACCCAGATATGCACAACGTCAAATGTCTTTCAAAGATACTTTTAGTAACAGTTGTTCTTTGACCACTAAAACAGCCATGAAATTCTACGACACTGCAAATAAAAAGGCTCCTTTGGGTTCAGAGAAAGCCCCAGGAGCACAAAGTCTTTGCGAGACGAAGCCCTCAATCTTTAGGGGACCAGTGTGTCTCACTGAAAGGCAGGTACCCTGAGGACTTTATCTGCTTAGCACACGAGGACTGGAGCTACAGCATGAGCAAGGCAGCACTCACTGCTCAAAGCTGGTGTCATCAGATCTCACCACTGCCTACAACAACACCCAAGCAGAGGGCTAAGGCATCTGAAAGGGTCAGGGAATCTTTCCTGGCATCACTTTAGGAAAGGTAAGGAAAGGATAGTCCACCTAGGAGCCTGTTCCTGACCACCTCGCGGCCCCATGTAACCCCTATGAACACAGCTGAAATAGTGAGGAACGGACCCTTCTCCAGGATCTTGTTGGCATCACCAGAGCGACCCTAGCAGAGGGGGTTCTTTCTCCCCTGTTCAGGGGGACAGAAGGTAAGACCTGAGACAACCCCGACAGGTAATTATACTAATATCCGCTCTTGGTAACGCTGGCCAAGTGGAGAGCGTGGTACCCGTGTCACAGGGATATCCAGCACCTGGAGCTAAGGAATTCCAGCTTTACCCGGAAAAAAAGCTCCACAGAACTCCTGGCCAACCTGTAAAACCCAAAGGAAACATGTGACCTGACTTTAATGAGAAGCACCTGCCACCAGCTCTCAGGATGAGCACACCGACCTGTCTACCAGCCCAATGGCGCATGAAGCACCAGAAAATACAGGACTAACCCTGACACATGAAGATCCCTCAGCAGAAAAGACGAGCGGTGTCCAGGGCTATTGACAAAAACAGCCTCTACCAGTGGGACAGGACACAGCCAACACCACCTCCATCCACAGACACGCAACACAGACAGCGAGACTGGCTTGATTAAACCTAACACAGTTGGATCTCAATCACTTAAACTATGCTGCACTAGCACAGGGAACACCTGAGCACAGCAAAATCACACTGCCGTGGCAGCTCTAAGGGCAAAAATTCTGTAAGTAACAACATGTGAGAGCCTCTGCTGCAAATCCATGCATAAACCATGTCAACATTCACCAGCGAGCCCCATGCTTAACTTTCCTCTACAACCACTGTCTCTCTCCCGTGGTTTCAGACCACCTTTTGACAGGTTGCCACTGTTTCTGTCCTCCGATTCTATCCCAGATCTTCGCACCTCCGTGTGTACATCACCTGATCCTCCTACGTAACATGTGCAGTTCCTCCCCTTGGAGACTCTTCTGAGTTGAAGAAAATACAACTGGTTAAACACCATCTTCACAGCATTGCGTTGAAAACAGCTGGAGGTTGTCACCAACACCCAGCCCTGCACTCTCTCCTATTGCAAGGCTCCTTCATTTATATACTTTTTTGCTACGTTTCCACTGTAAGGCCTACAAAAATCAACTGAGAAAGGATTTTGCCTAGAATGCCAACATGACATAGCAGTCACTGATGACAGAAGACAACTTATTAACAGTAAAGGGTATTTGAAATAAGAGTACCCTAAAAAGCATGTCATGTTTTTCAGCAGGAAAAAAAAGACTCCAAAGTAAAGGTAACTCCATACAGATTACTAGAGGAATCTTTAGAGTCCTCGAGCATGGGGAATTTTAAGGGAATGGAAGCCAAGCATCTGCCAGCTCTGACATGACACAGCTGATCTTGCCATAGGGCAAAAAGACAGAACAGGTAATGCTGTTATCTGTTAGAATCCCAGCTTGTCATAGCAGCCAAGTGGCTTTTCTTACCCTCCCAAACCAGTGTCCATCCATCTGCCAGGTCCCAACGTATTCCAGCTTGTAAGTTCTGGGACCGGAGTTACCCTCTTTTACTCTTGAGTTTTTACAGCAATACTAAAAGGTCACAACACAGACCTCTACAATGCACAAAAAGCGGAACAACCAAACAGAAAAACCTCATGCCACAGGCACACACTTGAAAAAGCCCAGGAAAATAGAACGGAAGATGACAACTGCAACCCTACATTAAATTGTTTTTAATGTTTAAACCGCTTATCCCTACTGAAATTTCCTCCAGCCAGTCCAGGTTCAGGACACGAGGACGTATTTGCCAAAACAAGCTGGATTCTTCAGTTTCCAGTGCTCAGCACAACCATGCGACTTGGACAAGGAATTGGGTATCAGGCTACAATTTTAGACATCTTAACTTCAAGCTGACCTTCTCAAGACACAGAGCAGCTCCATGCATTTGTCTGCTCTGCAAGGCTCACACAGCAACACAAATTAAACCCTCACGTGGCAGCAGTGATTGTAACTTGGCTATTGTTCAGTTAAATGGCGAATGAGCGTTCAAGGCTACTCCTGACAGCATCTATTTGTTAGAAATGGATAAAACAGGAATTAAAGGCAAACAGGTCAATGGACAAGATTTCCCCCAAGATTTACCTCTCTCCTCTTACTGTCCTTTACCTCTTCATCAACCTCCACATTTACATTCCTTCACCCTTCAGGATGCCCATGCAACTGCCTGGATACCAGAGTAATGGGATATCCTTCTGATTATCTTTGCGGGGAGAAAGGAGGGAGAACATATATTCAGTAGTTCTGTCATTATCTATAAATTACATAGAGGCTAATGGCTTTTTCAGATTAAGATCTCTTAAGAGACAACGCAACATCTGATTTTTCTGTACCATCATCAACTTACACTCGCTTACAGTCGTTTGTTGCGCCCAAAGCGCAGCCACTCCATGCTAGGCTTAGGGAAAACATCCAAGCAGAAATTTAAGCTGGACTCTGAAGCACTTCCAGCAGCCTCACGTTAACTTTTCCCTTCTGTCCTACCATTGCACCTAAAGATAAAGATATTCTGCAGCTGAGGAAAAACAAGGAAAAAAGAATGAGCTGGAGTCAGATTCTTTCATACACGCTGTATAAAGATGAATGCTTTGAAGCACTCTTGACAATTTCTCATTCCATCTACTTTTACTGCTCAGAGAAACTTGATTTATCTTTTATTTAATCAATTTTTAGACTACAGCTCAGCAAGCAACAAAAGGTTCACCCAAAAGTCTGACAATTCTTTTCTCCAAACACATGTTCTTGACTAGAATTAACTGGAAATAGCACAACTAGCACCTTTACTCAGAATCTGCACACCATCGGTGTAAGGCCTATTTATACAACAGGCTTTTTT